GGTCGTTCTCGAAGGCGGCCGAAGAACCGGCCGAGCGGGTTTGACGTCTCGTGCACATCGATCGACAAATTGCAATGGGAAATTGCAACCGGCTGCGCGTGCTCCTCTCCTCGTCCGTCGAGACGAGCTCGTTCGCCGGAAACGCGAAAGAAGTTGGTCGCGAGGCCCGAGGAACGTCCGACGGTGCTTTCAACGCGAGACAGGGCGGCAAACAGATAAGTACCAATCCGATCAGGCGAAGCTCGAAAAACAACGCGACTCTCGTTCGAGGAGTCTCGTTCGGGACGTTAATCACTGCCAATTCACTAAATTCTAAGGTCAACGCTGCACCGTCGGGCACTCGGAGCCTCGTCGACGGCGAGGAGGGAGCGAACGGAACACAGGTCGGGTCTTTCAGCGACAACGGTGCACGAATCGCGTAGAATCTTGTAAGCCGTCTGCCTCTCGTAAAACGGTCGAATTCTCGGAATCGCGACCGTAATAAAAGAAGAAGAACCTTCGAAAAAAATACGAAAGCGAGCGGACGATGTTCGAAGAAAAATCAAGGAATCCCGATTCGCGAGGACAATAATACGATGTCTGTCGGTGCCAAACGTTATTTCCTTTCCCCTTGTTTCCTCTCTATCTCTCTCTCTCTCTCTCTCTCTCTCTCTCTCACTCTCTCTCTCTCTCTCTCTCTCTCTCTCTCTCTCTCTCTCTCTCTCTCTCTCTCTCTCTCTCTCTCTCTCTCTCTCTCTCTCTCTCTCTCTCTCTCTCTCTCTCTCTCTCTCTCTCTCTCTCTCTCTCTCTCTCTCTCTCTCTCTCTCTCTCTCTCTCTCTCTCTCTCTCTCTCTCTCTCTCTCTCTCTCTCTCTCTCTCTCTCTCTCTCTCTCTCTCTCTCTCTCTCTCTCTCTCTCTCTCTCTCTCTCTCTCTCTCTCTCTCTCTCTCTCTCTCTCTCTCTCTCTCTCTCTCTCTCTCTCTCTCTCTCTCTCTCTCTCTCTCTCTCTCTCTCTCTCTCTCTCTCTCTCTCTCTCTCTCTCTCTCTCTCTCTCTTTTCTGTCACACGTTCAACACACTCTCTCCTGTCTTCTCCCAGCGAACGGGTGCTTCGAGACGAAAACTGCTCGCGACGCTTTCGGCGAGCAATAATCGAAATTGCGTTCGCGAACGAACGGGACGGTGGAACCGCGAAGGGTCGCGAAGGGTCGGGGAAGGGTCACGGAGGAGCAGCACGTGTAATTGAATACGTGATTTCGGCCAGTTTCGACGAAGGCAAAGTTTACCGTGCCGCGCGCTAATCCCGAATTTACAGTACGAATTATATTCGCGAGGCTTCGACCCCCGACCCCGGCTATTTCTCGCCCCTGTTTCTTCTCGCGTCCCCGCGCCCTCCGGTGAACCAACGACCATTCGACCGTTTTACCATCGCGACATCATCGCATCGAGTGATTTTTAAGGAAGAAAGAGTTCTTTTCGGCCGCGAGGTCGAAACACGTTTCACGACATCGAAGAGGAAGATGACTCCCGAGTAAATCTTTGTTCCTTAAAAATTCGACGGAACAAGGCTTGTTTCGTAGTGGCGCGCGTCCTATGGTTTTTCGAACGGACAAATCTGACTTTGTACTTTTGTACGATTGCTTTCTCTAGACGACGTTTCTGCTCTTCGTTTTCACGCTTCGCGTCGTCGATGATTCGCGCGGCTAAGAGCGAGGGGTGGCGACGCTGTCCGGCTGGCGGGCGAGACTCTTGTCGGAGGCTCAACAGAAATAAATGATATAAATATATAAATATAATATATATTTTTTAATATTCTCGTCTTACTCACCGAAACAATATATTATTAATACGTAAGTGGACAAAGTATAAACGGGCAACATTCCGCACAAAGCTCTAGAACCGTTTCCACGCGTCGAACTCGTCTGACCCGACCACGCCACCCCCTCTCGTACTCGCGCGACCGGATGGCAGACGGTAATCGTTCACCACCGACGCTGTACGTCTCTCGACGAACGTTAAACTTCCGGTCAGAGGGCGCCGTTGTCTCGTTCGATCATCGACTCATCGTGCGACGAGTCAGAATCGGAACTGAACTCGCGCAGGGGGTAGTGACACAGGAGACAAGGGGGGTCAAAGTGTCTAATCATCGATAAAAGAAACGCGCGAAGAATTGGTCGTCGACACCGTGAACGGTAACGCGACGAGAAGTTACCCAACGACGTAGACGGGGACTGAACGAAACGAAAGGATCCGTAGATCGCTCATCGAACGAAAGGTGAACAAAATAGAGTAGTAGTAAAATATAGTTAATAACGTTAAGGGGTAAATACGTGAAGAGATAAGAGAAACGAGGGAAGGAGTTTACCGCTTAAGAAGACTAATCTTACCTGAGGGCGCTTTCGAAGGCGCACAGATGCGGCCGCCGGTGCTGGCGAGCGAGGATTTAAACGAAGATTTAAAAGAAAAAAACGTAAATGAATAAAATAAATAAATGAAAAAAAAAACAAAGAAAAGCAAAAAAAAGAAGATAATGAAACTAAATTTTAAATGTTCAGTGGCCAAATAAATTAACTGATAACGCACGTAGAACGTAAAAAAACGATACCGTACCTACTTGTAAGTAAGCCTGACTGATTGACGAGAGCGTAGACGCGGTTCTCGCGCGTGTGGCTGCGTTTTGTATGCGTGCGACAAGATAACTCGATGTTTGTGCACCTGTGTATTTCTTTATTTTTCTTTCTTTCTTTCTTTGCGTCGATGCGTGGGTGCGTCGAGATGCGTGACACGAACGAGTGAGAGCCTTTTTTTCTGTTTATTTTTCCTTGCGAGAATGTGCTCCAAATTGAATCGGGATCGAGATCGGGGTGGGGCTCTGGGGCTTCGAGAAAGAACGCGTAAACGAATTCACTTTGGGGAAAATCTAACGAGACAGAGAGAACGAGAGAGAGAATGCGTGCGATAGAGAGATAGCAAAGAACACTAAGTTTGTATATTGTGCAATTTTTGTCAGTGTTTCATTATTTGTTACCATGTTCACGGATAATTATAAATAAAGTAAATATATATATGCAGCATTTACAAGGACTTAGGATAAGGAGAATAACGAGAGCCAGATGTCTTTTTGATAGCCATATATTGCGAGGTATCGTGCGGCGCCCCTCGAGGACGCCCCGACCACTCTTTTTCTCTATATTTTTTTCTTTTCTTTGTCTCTGGTAGGCGAGGTGAAACGAGGATACGAAAACGGTGCTCGTCGCCCGATCGCGACGATCTCTCGTTAGAAGGACCCGTCCTCGTCTTCGTTCCGATCGTTTCGCCCGCGAGGAACGAAACGAGCCACCCTCGAACTCCGCTCGGGATCGACGAAACGATCTTTGCCCTTCGCGACCGAGATAATTGCTCGTTCCGACTCGACGCGCGAGCCGAAAACGTTGCTCGAAGGGCGAACTCGATCGAGTTTCGAAAACGATCGATCCTCGCGATCGCGACGAGCTTTTCGCGCGTTTCCATCCCGGCGACCAACGAAACCCTGTAGATATATATTATATATATATACATACATACATATACATAACGAACGATCGTTGCGCGACGCGAGTGCATTGTTTCCAAGCTCGAGACGCGACGGAAAGATCGAAAAGAGACGAAGCGAGGATAAACAGGAAGGAGACAGATGCACGACAGATGTAATTTAGAGAACAGAGATGACGCGCAAGCGGACACCTTAACAACTAATAAATGGTAGTTAGAAGTTTAGTTAGATAGATGGATAGCTAGACCGTTAGATAGACACCTTTAGATAGGCAGATAAATAGATCGACGGAGAGAGGAAAGGAGAAAGAGAAGAAAGAATGATAAAACAATGGGTGGGATTTGGGGGGCGGGGGTTTAAAAGAGTTATTATTATATAAAAGAAAAGAAGTCTATAAATATAGATAGGTGGATATACATAGATAGAGATGTAAGTACCTAAGAGAAACTCTAAGGAACCTTTTAGAAGAAGTTGTATCGTTGTACGAGGTACGATAAGTGGACATAAGTGTTTTATGATACTCGCGTACAATAAGGTCGAGGCGAACGACGAGGAACGTAACGAAATTGGATGAAACGGAAAACCGGAAGATGGAGTATCAAGCGGGTTCGAAAGAGGGAAAACTAGGAAAACGTAGACAGATCGCGGCACCGATCGTAATTGTATTTAATTGTGGTCTAAGCTATTTTCAGTCACGTTGTATAGTAATTGTAAATTACAGGACTTTCAGTGTATGATAGAGGACGGCGTGAATGAACGAATGATGGCACGAAAGGGGGGAACAGGGGAGAGAACAGAAAGAGGGAAACGGAAAACAACTTCGTGCATTCACCGAAGAATTTCAAATGAACATTTTAGGCAAGATACGATTGAGTTAGGTAAAGGGGAAAGGGGAGAAGAAAGTTTCCTTGTTTCTCGATAGAAAGTCTTGGTAGCCGATTGGTTTCTAATTCCGAGAACGGAGAAAGAAATTCGTTGCTAATGCATTATCGGAAAAGCGACAATGTTTATCGAATCAACGATTCATTGCAGCGACGTAACGGCAGCATTCATGGAAGAAAACAAAATGACGCTTGGGGGAGAAAGATAGTTCGCGTGATCGTTTTCCCTCGATAGTTTCTAACTTTTTTATAAAAGAACGCGTATCAATTTTTGCGCAAAAAACTAGACTCCTCGTTGAATTCATTTTCACCCCCGTGTCGCGCTGAAGAAAAAAAAAATACGTAAACGGGGAGGAAATTTGAAACACTACGAATCGAAGGTTATTTTTAGGGAATTACGTCTTTAGAAGAGATTTAAATTAAATATCGAACGGGGTTAGCGATTGGTAAATTGCGGATCTTTATGTAAATATGTGTTTTAATAAATTATTTCCCGTCTCCAGACGATCGAAAAAGTATTACTC